ATAAATATGAACATCAAACTTTGAAATGGTTTAAAGACGGTTTTTAAAATTGTTTTTAGAGGTATAGAAGGAAAGAAGGAAGGAAGGAGGAAAGGAGGGAAGGAGAGAGGAAGGAAGAAAGAGTCATTTGAATCTCATCTTTATTCTGTGTTGAGATTTCTGAATTAATTTAGTGAAAGTTGAGTGCCCTGCAGGGAATACAGTCAGAAACTCTCCAAATCTGTTTCTTGGTACTTATGTTAGAAAAATGTTGAGGAGCACAGTCACCAAACTTATATTCTGCATGAAAAACTCGAAATTCCAGTCTCTGGAAACTTAATTCCTCTACGTGTCTTAACTTTTGTTGTTGCTGCTGTTGTCGTCTGCAGCCATCTTTAAACGATTGGGATTCTCTTTAAAACTGCAGAACTGTGCAATATCCTTTAACCATCAGGTCCTAACCACAAAACCCATCACAAAGCGTGGCAGAGCAGATCAGCAGTAAGAGGATATCTTTGAAAGACTAAGATGAACATTAAATTAATCAACCGATGCTCTGGGGGGAAATGGCCACTAATTTCAAATTTTTCATCTCTGGAAAATCAATTATTATTATGTTTATTGATGTTGTATTTGTCACTATTTTCAGCCATTTCCCCTGATGACATGGGTTAAAATAGGAACATTGTTATAAAAGAGATTAGACATGTTCGATTCCGTTTCTAGACTTTCCACCTCTCAGCTACCTGGGGTTTGGGAGAGAAATAAACTGCCATAGGGCAAAGGCTGAGCTTGCCCTTTGTTCCTTTCTATGGCCATCCCTTTTGCCTCTCTAAGATTTTAAATATTTAGTTAAACACCAGCTAATGCTTTTTACTCTCCGGGCAGGATTTTGGAGACGTGTGTATAAAGTCAACACTCCCTTTGCAGTTAGGTTGACTGGGTTGGAATTTGTTACCTTACCCCCAAAGGACTCTGAAGACCTTCTACCACAGTATGGCGTGGAGCTTCCCAATGTCTGTGGCACACAGGCTTCCTACAGATGGGCTTGATCCCGAAAATGGCCCTGATGCACATGCAAGCCGGTTAATGCCAGCCTATGCCCATGGTTCCTAACCTAATGATCCATTCCCTGTTGAATGGCTCTTGTCCTTTTTGGACCACTTGGTGATTTAGAATTCTCACAGCAGTGAGCAAGACAGGTTTGTCAGCAAAATAACAAAATGCTGATCATTTTCCCATTTGGTTGTATATATTTGCACATGCAAATGTGCAAAATTACAGTCATATATGTGGTCTATATAGAGCAGTAGAAGAATGATTCTAGAATCACAGTCTGTGCTCCACTAGCTGGGAGAAATTGGTAATAAAATATATATACTTCTAATATATGCCAAGCATTATGCAAAGCATTCTGAGAAAAAAGAGAGATGAACTGGATCAGACTCTGCCCTCAAAGAGAACACAGTGTAGTAAGCACATTATATTGTTAAATTTTAGATTTGTACATACACATTTGTTAATGTGCCCCAAATCAAAATATAGTGGGAACAATTTCTAAATAAAGCACTCAGACAACAAGTGCATTAATAAACCCTATATTGGCTTTAGGTATTTAAAAATAATATCTTCTTGCTGTAACACATTTAAACAAAGTGGAAGCTTATAAAATAATATAATAAGAATAAAATTCCTCTTCCTCCCCCAGTCTTGCTCCCCAGTGGCGGCTCTAGGTTAACTATTTGCTATGTGTTCTTCCTAAATTTTTGTTTGCCTATAAAATGTAAACATAAAGCACATATATGGTGGATATCTTTGTATGCCACCACCTCATTCTTTCCAAGGTCTGTCTAATGTTCCATATCTTGGATGCACCAGAATTTATTTAACATTACCTTATTAGGGGACACTTAGGTTATTGCTAGGGTTTTTTTTTTTTTTGTATTAATCTAAATGGATTGTGAATAAGCAAGAACTTGTTATAGGAGGAATATTAACATTGTAAGTGGTATATAAGCAATGTTCTGTAGTTGACCCTTAAAGCTTTCAATAAAGGAACAATGTAATCAAGGGCATATATTAGAAGGGTTCAAGGTAGAGTCTGAATTGGATTGGAGAACGACTTAAAGCAAGGAAGACCAGTAGGCTATTCATGCAATTGTCTAGAGGAGAGATGCTGAAGATTTGAATTAAGGCTGTGGTAGTGATAAAGGAGAGGAATGATTCTATCTTCTATTAACTGGAAGAAATTGGTAGTGAAGGAGAAGATATTAATTTCTAATTACAATTAAATCAAAACTTTAATCAACTCTTGATTTTCTGGTTGTGAGACAGCTATGGCTAAGGCACAGAAGACAGCTGGAACATGCTTGTAGTGAGCTGATGAATACTGAATGTCTACTTTGGGGATTGGTCAAGTCTTGGAGTGAATACCACCTGGGATGGAGGCAGAAGGTTGAAACAGGATGTCCAAACACAGTTATGGTCTCTCTTCCCTGCTGACATTGAAGGCAGCTCTTCTGCATTTTGGGTTCTTTCTGCCCAGCATGGTAGTCAGCCAACAGAGAGTGCTCCCACTTAACTGGAGAGGTAAAGGAGACTCAGCTCACGGCTCAGCCTTACCCTTGTTTAATCCAACCTCAAATAGTCAAGATTTGACCCTTTTTAGGCCATAGAATTGACAGGAGCTGATGACTGGTTAGATATAGGAATAAAGGAGAGTCAACGATGGTTATGGCCAGCCCTGGTGATCTAGCGGTTAAGATTCCGTACTCTCACCACCGTGGCCTGGTTTTGTTTCCTGGCCAAGGAACTACACCATGCATCTGTTGGTTGTCATACTACGGTGGCTACATGCTGCTATGATGCTGAAAACTATGTCACTGGCATTTCAAACACCAGCAGTGTCACCATGGTGGACAGGTTTCGGTGGAGTTTCCAGATGAAGACAGACTAGGAAGAAGGATCTGGCCACCCACTTCTGAAAAAATTGGCCATGAAAACTCTATGATTAGCAGTGGAACATTGTCTGATGTAGCACCAAAAGGTGAGAGGATGGTGCAAAAAGACCAGATGGGATTCAGCTCTTCTGTACACAGGGTCTCTAGGAGTTGGAATTGACTCAATGGCACTAACGACAACAAAAAGAAGATTATGAGAGTTCAATCCCAAACGAATGGGTATATTATGGTGACATTAACTGAGAGAACGTAGAAAAGGAAACAGATTATTTTTTTGGTGGAATCTGTGGGGAAGGGATGTATTTAAATTTTTTAAATGCAAGATGGAAGACGTACAATTGGAAACTGAAAATTTTGTGTTGGAACCCTGTAGAGAGTTCTGTCAGAAACACCATCACATGAGTGAGGGTTGACTCTATGAAAAATGAACTTTCCACTAGAAAAGCTGTGAAGAAAGTTAGTGAATAGCAGTATGTGGTTATGGGTAGAAGAAAGAGTGGTCAGAAAGACTTATCCAAAAAGCCAGGAGATGATGCAATTTCAGAAGGACAGTGTGCTTTCCAGCATTAAATGCTGCACAGGGAATGACAGGACAATGCTGAGAAGAAGCCATCGGATCTGTTGACAAAACATGATTGGTGCCATTTGGAGCACAGTTCCAGGGGCAGAGCCAGAGTGGCAGTGTGGTATGTGTCTCTCCAATTTTTTCATTGTGGCTATAGAACTAAAATTTGTTATACATGGTGATGGTGATAAAATGCTCATTTTTTTCCATTGAAGGAATTTTTCTTGTGGTTGTTTTTGAGCTGGGCTTTTGGTCTTATCATCCTTAGGTTGTTCATATCAATGAAAAATTAGAATGTCCTAAATGTCCAACCACTGGTGGATTGCTTAATTAGATATGGTCAATATTGAAGTATTATATGGTCAGTGCTATAATATTTTCATGTTTTGCAGAAAGATAATAATATATGGATACATAGAAATGGCCAATCATTTGTTCAAATGTATCCTGCAGCATCAACCACGTCCCATCACTGGGAGCCTTGCAGGGTAGAAAAAGCATATCCTTCTTTTCTACAACTATAGTGTTAGAAAAGGGAAAGATTGGATCTCCTTATTTTCCTCAGCCAGAGATGGAAAGTTCAGTCATCAAGGTGTGGGAGATTTCCAGGTGGCTTTGACAAATGATTAGAAGGGCTTACAGAAGCTGGACCTGGTTTGTACTGTAAGAAATGAGCAAGATTTCTCATATGGGCCTGATGAAATTCTGTGTGCACACAAGAGGGAAGATTAGCCCACAGAGATGCTCTCACCTTTAAGACGGTCAAATATTCGAGCTTGATAACAAAACTTCCAGCCATCATACATCCCTCCAATGAACTGGCAATATTATAAAAGTCTAATAACCATAAAAAACTTAACGATTCATCTGTTCTGAGTAGAACACACAGGAGCCTTGTTGGATTATAATGTGCACTTATTAGATTTTGAAACCATTTCAACTATTCACCAATTAATGGCATTTAAAGGATATATTTACAAAGATAATCAGATTCACAAATAAGATTTTTCACTTAGTAGTAAATTTCAGTGAAATTCACTTGCTGGTTTCAAAACATGTTTCTTAGACATTCTGGTACTATCGGATTCTCTAGGAATATAATCGTATATTTGAATCACTGACAATTAAATGGGAAGGAGTATTAGAAACTATCTAGTAACCCATTTTTTAGAGGAAATTGATGTTCCTAGAGGCAGGAGGTCACATAACCTGTGGCCAAAATTCAGCTCTCTTTACTCTCAGTCTAGTGCTCTTCCCAAAGCACAATAATGCTTCTTAAATAGACACAACTGAATGATCATATATACCTTAGAGCATTTTCAGGGTATTTGAATATAGAACCTGCACAAATGCATAACGTGGCTCTAGGTAATTTGGACTTGCTAGACATTACAAAGTGCTATTTTTTAAATCTTCTTTTGGGGACAAAGTAACATATATTCACAGACAAATAAATTACTGTGAAATAACTTAAGGTTATGTGTTTCTCTATTCAGAAAGAAGGTGTATGCCCTGGGGAAATGAAAGAGACTCACAGCCCCTCTGCAAACCTGCATCTCGGTAGCCTCTGTGGCTTCCCCACCTCACAGCGAGTTCGTTTCTTCTCCTCCACACCAGGGACAATCAGTCCACTCTCCCTGTGGGCAGATATCTCATCCCCGTGGGCAGTGTCGTGAAGAGCCTCTAGGCTGACGGATGCATTTGGGAACTCATTCTAAAATGAAGACGTGATGGAGTTGATGGGGAACACATAGAACCGGGACAAGTCTCTGACTCAAGAAATCAGTCTGCTGGGAAGGATTCATAGCAATTGTGACTTTTTAAAAGCTGAGCTTGAATAATAATTATAAAAAGTTATTGACATAATAAAAGAACAAAAGGACTTATGTGATGAGCAATAGTTCCTGGCCTGCCCCTGCCCCTCACCCCCAGTTCTGCCCCTCCTCATTCCCAAGGGCTTTACCTTTAACTGTTTCTGTTTTTGGTTACCTCTGGTGGTCAAGCCCATGTTTCTAAATAAATACAGCACGCCGCCGTCAGTTCCTATCGCCCCTTGCCCACCCCTCTTGCCCCTCCCAGTACAGCTGTATCACTGCTTTTCCCTCTAATGCTACTATGGAAACTTCCTCTCTAGATGAATGAAAATAAAACTGAATCCTAACCTTATATTGTATACGAAGGTGGGCTCCAGATAAATCAGAAACCTAAATATAAAAGGTAGCACTGTAAAAATAATAGAAGAAAATACAGGAGAATATCTTTGTGACTGAGGAGTAGAGAAGACTTCTTAAGTCAGACCTTAACATCACAACCAAGCATAAAAACTTGGCAGAATTTATCACATCAAACTGGAGAATCCAATTCAGTGTAGAATTTCATATAGACGTAGTTATTAATCAGACAGCAGGTTGGGAGGAGATATTTGCAACATTCAAAACTGAAAAGCTTATATAGGATAATCAAGGAATTCCTACATATTATCATGAAAAAGAGAAACCAAGAAAAAAGGATATAATAAATCAATTCAGTGGAGGAGAGAATTGAACAATGAACAAGTATATTAGTAAATAATCCAACTATTTAGGCAGCAGAGAAATGAAAATTAAAAGGACAATGTGATACCATTTTCTACACATCAGATGGCAAAATTAGGAAACTGAGTGGTGCCGTTGCAGGTTGGGTTCTCCAGGGGCAGACATTGAGACAGAGTTTGGCTTAAGATGTTTGTTGGGAATCAACACCTGAGACAGGAGTGGGGAGGATGCAGGATTGGGCACAAGGAGCAGCTGAGATGTGATGCAGGCAGAGCACAGCTTCAGCCAACCCAGCCAGAGGTGCGTGGAAATCACCCTTCAGGGTTGCTGGCTGAAATAACCGGCCCTTTGCACCCAGATTTGAGCTGCTCTGGGAAGGGTGAGATCTGGGGCCAGGTCTTTATCTATATTTAGCTTTGGTCAGATAACGAACTCCAGGAGTTCAGAGGTTAGAGATCATGTGTTCTGCAATGAAGGCAGAACCTGCAGGAGCTGACAGCTGGAGGCTGACTGTTGACCACACTCCCTATAGCCAGGCAGAGTGTCCTTCCTTGAAGAGAGATCTGGGCAGCACAGCTCTGCATCTGTCATAGGCATATTGTGTGTGTGTGTGTGTGTGTGTGTGCGTGCATGCGTGCGTGTGTGTGTATGTGTGTGTGTGTGTGGAAAAACTGACCATTAAAAGCAACAGAATAATGGACATTCTTGAGCACAATGCCTTTTCTGCATTCCAGATAATTTCCTTAGATTGAGAAGTAGAATTATTGGGTCAAAGGACATAAACATATCTTAAGTTTTTTTATTTTGCTAAAATACTATTCTGAAAGGTTAAGTCAGTTTATATGAGTATGTACAAGGTTCATAGGTAGATAAGACCATTTTAGCCCATACTTACTAGCATTTGCCAAACAGCTTAATTGCTACATGAAAGGATTACGAAAATGCTGAACTTGAAAGACTTCAGAATTAACAAGTAAAAGTGTCCAAGTCATAACAGATTTATCTCCCCCTAAGTTTATTAATTTAGGGGCAGTGACACTGTCTGAAGATTGACAGTCCTCTGGATTCCATTTGTTCTGTAGCTGTGCGTCGGTGACCAGCCAGCTTGGCAGTAAGTTGGCAATGTTTAATAAGACTGTCCTCCATGATTGAAACAAATGACTCTCTTTTTGTCATCAGAAATGGAAGCTTTATGCATTTGTTTTAGTAATACAGGATCTGACATCATTAATAACCTGGGCTTGCAACTTGTGCTTGTTGAATACAATAGATGAATGAAAAATTTAATTTTTTAGTAGATCATAAAAGATGTGCCAAGAGATCAAAAATAATTTAGGTAGAGTACCTCTGATGCTTGAGACATTCCATTGTCTCTACTTTTTGTTAGGCTAGATGTACATGCTGATATCATTCTTTGTGAATCCGCTAGGCCTTAGTGTAATATTCAAAGACTTGCATTCGCTGGTCTTATCTCTTCAACTTTCTCTCCCATTACTCTCCACCATGGCTTTGCTTGACCAACCAAGTCGATCTGTGTGATGTCCCCAGAGGATGAAATGCAACCCCTACCCTCGTGTTTTTCTCTCTGCTGTACCTCATGTGAGGAACACCCTCTCTTCTCTGACAATCTGTGTAATTCCTCTCTTTCCAACAGCTCACTCGAAGCTCACTTTCTGGTTTTATTTGCTCCCTCAAACCTAGCGCTTACATCTTGAGTTTATAGCATTTTGCTTTTCCTGTAGTTCAGTTCTGTGTGGCTTCTCTAGGACTTTTATCTAGGCTTGGCATCGGACAGATAATCTTCAGGAGGTTAGAGACCATGAGTTTGATTTTTTTTTCCCTTTTGAGCCCCACCAACCTGTAGGGTTTGAGCTTAACAGAGTCATTTAAGGTATTTCTTCAGCTCCGATTTCTCCAGTTTATGCTGGAGAGGACACATTGGATTTGTGCCTTTCTGAAGCAAAGTAGCATCCAGCACAGAAACATCTGCCAGGGGCCGTTTAAGAGAGAATCCCAATTCTGCTTTTGGTCACAAGTGAGAGGGAGCTTCGCAGTGAGCCCAGCATCAGTGAGGGCTTCAGCTGCTCCTGTGGGTGATCCTTGCAGTGGCTCCTTCTGCTGGGGACCTGTGGAGACTCCCCAGTGTTGCTACTAGTTCCTGCACATGAATCATAGATGGAGCCATGAAGCCAAGAAATGGTGCTGAGGATGGCTTTGGGGATGGAGAAGAGCGAGGAGGACAGGGCATGGGTGGCAAGCAGTTGATTTTTGCTTAAAAAGAAGAGTCCAGAAAATGTATTGAAGCGCCACCTTTGCCCACTGTTCCTGAAGAACAGATATTTAATAATTTGGGGGTAAACTTGTAATTCAATAATTGTGAGTAATGATAGCAGAAAGGAGGTCAAGTGACATCGCTATGATTCCTTTCATTTCCCATGGGTGAAATTTATTGGCCCCTCAGATTTTTTTTTGAAATGTACCATGGAGTTCTACCATCTCCATGTATTCAACAACATCTAAAAAACAGTCCTGTGTTGGGGCTGGCGCCGTGGTATAGTGGTTAAGGTCGTGCACTCCTCTTTGGCAGCCCGAGGTTTACTGATTTGGATCCGAGGTGCAGACCTACATATTACTCATCAAGCCACACTGTGGTGGTATCCCATATACAAAATAGAGAAAGATTGACACAAATGTTAGCTCTGGGACCATCTTTCTCAAGCAAAAAAGAGAAAGATTAGTAACAGATGTTAGGTCAGTGCCAATCTTCCTTACCAAACAAACAAAAAAACAGTCCTGTGAATTTTTCTATTTTATTTGTTGTCAGAGTGTTGTTGGGTACATAACATGTAAAGCGACGTGAGGAACAAATTCCTTTCATGTAGCACTATCAGAACTGCAGTCTCCCCCGACCCCCGTTAAAAACATCTTGTGGACACTGTCATCCTTGTAACTAATTTCCTCTCTACTTTCTCTACTAGGAAGCTTAGATCAAACTTTCTGGCCATTGCTAACAAGTGCAGAAGGCTGTGAGCTTGTGTTTCTCTGCTTTTTTCTTACTCTCAGATTTACCATGTTGCTACCTTTGCCATGATATACTCTTTGCCATGATATGCTCAGTTCTTTCTATTTTACCCTTTTGATTATATTTATTTATTTTTAAATTAAACGTTATTTTGAGATAATAGTAGATTCACATGCAGTTGTAAGAAATAATGCAGAGAGATCCAGTGTACTGTTTACCCAGTTTCCTCCAACGATATCGTGCATAATTATTGTAAAATATCACAACCAGGAAATTTACATTGTTATAATCCACTAGCCTTATTTGGATTGATGGTATTGTTAAACCTTCTCCAAATAACTTGTGGAAAGGGATAGGATATAATTTAACAAATATCAAATTTATTCTGTAATTAATACATAGAGAAGATTCTTATGATATAATTAATATAGAGAGAGGGTTCTTAGGATGTAATAATTACCAGATACTTTTTAAAGATAAAAGTTTTTATTTGTGGAATAAAAATAATGGCTGACCCTCAGACACCAAGATCTAAAGATGTACCAGTCTATCAGCATCTTGATGCAAATGTAACATTGGCCATGAATTTGATTAGACTTTCCGTCCATCAACTGAGAACCCACACTTAGGTGGGAGAACTTGGATTAAAACCTTTCACTTCCGTCTTGCTAGGCAGCTCCCCAAGCCCAGCAGCTGCTCTTTGTGGTAGAAGTAGGTTTAGTTTGTTTGTGATTAAGTGACCTGCTGCAACATAGCAATCTAATACAAATACAACAACAACTTTGCTTTGAAGGACATTGGGGTTTACTTGGAGGTGAAATTGTATGTAGTTAGAATTAGTTGGCATAAAGACTCTGGAAATCAAGATTGGAAAAAAAGAAAGTGTTGTAATCCTATGATCTTGTGCATTTGTCAAGACTCCAGTGGTTGCCCATCTAAGAACCTTTCCTTTCTTCTTGCTAAATTTATTCCAGAAATAACAAACTCGGGGGAGATGAGCTCCAGGAATGAACCAGGATTGATTCAAGGCAAACTTAATAATTCCTCTTCCTTTTGCTAGAGAGTTGTTTAGGAGTGGGCCTGCTACTGAGTTCTGCCCGGGAAGACACAAGGACAAGTGATTTTGGGGACAATTTTGCTCCAAATCTTTTAAAAAGAAGATACAAGAAGTTGGTTTGTCACTTCTTCCTGAAATGAAAATGTGGGAAGGTATGTGATGGTACTGTGCTGCAGCCTAAGGTTGAAAAGCCAACTTGGTGAGAACCACAGGGCAGAAAGACCACAAGATGCTAGGTCCTTGACCAATGGCATCATTGAGCTGCTCTACCAACCCTGGAACTGCCTACTTTTAGACACATTACTAAGTGAATGATAAATGTGTTTGTTGTTATGGCATATTGGGAGTAGCCAAATGCATTCTAACTAATAATATACATATTTAGTTTAAAAGTTGGGATTCTCAGAGGGAAGTGTCCTGCAGATGTGGTGGCTAGATGTACTTCACGTATGTCAAAAGAACCTCAATTTTAAGTGTGTCACCTGTTGTCTTCACAAGCTATAGAAATATCATGACATTCTTAGTATTTTGATTCCAAATTTTCTTTTCCTCT